AGGGCACTTCATTCTTAACCACAATGGCCATCACGTTATTCATTTAACGTTTAAACCGAGAGCCCACGGAGGATGCTCTAGATGTCCTTGATGGGAGGAAAACGGCGTCTGAGGTAGACATTTGAAATCAGCTATCTTGTAGTGAGAGCACGCACATTCAGTGTGGAGTACAGGCTGCCAACCACTTCCAAAAGCCACATTTCCACTTCTGCCACAGGCCACATTCCTCCCCACTGCTAGATATGGCCCATGTGATTTCTTTTTGTGTTAAGGACCCTTGCCAGGCCCACCCTTGCCAGGCCACATCTTCACTGTCTTCTCCCATCAGCCAACCAATGGAAGATACTCTGAGAGGAAGAGAGTTCAGGTATATATATGGAAGAAGCCTGGACCCCTGGATGAGACTGCATGGAGCCTGTTACCCTGCCAGTGTGAATTAGAGAATAATACACACGATGCTGTTGCTTTAAGCCACTGAGATCTGGGGATTATTCTGTATAATCATCAAAATGATTTTAACTAAGACAAATCTGTAGCAAAATTGTCTTGCTGTGTACAAAAACAAATGATCAGGAGGACTGACATTAAAATGATATTTTCAGCTCTTCTGCCGTGTGTCACATAGAATAAGTACACACAGAGAGAGGCAGCCTCAGTGACAGAGCGGAAGCCAGCTTTAGCTCCAGCACCAGAGAGCAACCTAGAGAGAGAGAACCAGAGACAGTTCTAGAGAGAAATAGCTGAGAGAGAGAGAGAGAGAGAGAGAGAGAGAGAGAGAGAGAGAGAGAGAGAGAGAGACTTTGGAGGAAGGGGAGAGAGTAGTGTGGGAGGGGGAAGTGAGACGGAGAGGGAGGGAGGGAGGAAGGAAGCCAATAACATTGAACTCTTTTTTACCAACTGGTATGGACTTTACACCTAGTATATCTGATCACTCAGAGTTCCTAAGGGAACGGTTTCACTCTTAACCCCATGCTTTCAAATGCCAAACTGCCTCCAGAGCCAAATGAAACTGCAGCCTGCAGGAGCCCAGGGCCTCCTCCCCACTCTCCCGGGCTGCAGCTGTCCTTGGGTCTGGCCACCTGGCCTTGACATCCGGTCACTGCAGCATTCACTCTGGACAGGTGCCCTCTGACCGAGATGTAAGAATGCTTTGCCATGATTTTACCAAAGCAGACATTAAAACTGAAAGGCTTGGCTGTATTCTAAGGCCTCATGGCAGGCAGAGACACCCCCCCCCCCCTTTAGCACAGAAAGAGATGCTACCTCTGGGATGTGAGAGGAGCTGAGCTCAAGGTCAGACCCAAGGTCAGACCCAGGTATCCACAGGCATTCCTCATACACACGCAGAACTTGCCAGCCGCCAGAGGATGGGTCATTTGAATTTCCCAGTGGGAAAAATGTACTGAACAAAGGAAGCCCCTTTTCCTTCGGAGCCGTTAAAGTACAGACTTCAACAATGCTTGTTGTGGAGATTTCAGGATATAGAGAAGGATAAATACAAAAAAATGAAATGTCCTTTTTCTCTTAAATCACCACAGTCACCTAATCATCAGGACTGCCAGTTGGGTGGTGACTAGTCCCTGCTCACTCCAACTTCAGACAAAGCCACACACGCCGCGGGGAGGGATCTTTTAGACTTTTGATTTTTTTTTTTTTTTGCTACATAAATAGGATTATACAATACATATTCTCATTACAAATTGCTTTCTTTCACTTAATAATTTATTATAAGTCTCCTTCCAGATGGATATAATTAGTTCTAACTTAGTCTTTTTAAATAGCTGTCTAATACTGCCTCGAAGAAAGAACTGGTGCATGCTGGATTTCCAAACATCATCAATTTTGAGAGTTAATAATGGTTGTTGATTTATTTTTGGAGGGAAGTGAAATGTTAACTACACCAATTTACGGAAGGAAACATGCAACTTGAAATGAGGGAAAGAAAGTGTCTTTGAAGGTGGAACCATCTTGAAGAGGCAGTGTGACAAGAAACGTGTTGCTCCGAGGCAGACATAAAGTTCCTACTGGGGACACTGAGGTCCTGCTAGGTCTTGGTGCAGGAGCGCCTCGCAGTGCAGGCCTCCTCTTGGGGGAATGGGCTGGGCCTGCGCTGGCACCAGGCATCTCTTCCAGGCTGCTCTCTGCATGCACGATTGTCTCGCCACCTCTTGGATCTGGCTCAGGAAGGGCGGGGAAAGCGCTGCAGGCATTAGCATGCAGGTCACGCAGCCACGCTTTGTTCTCTTGGCTGAGGTCAGATGGAATAAATCAATCAGCCTTCGCATCCAAAGTCCTTCAACGTGTCCTGGAGCCTTCCAGGCCATGTGTGATCTGGCCCAGCTTTGAGTTGCCTGCGAGAGTCTACAGGAACAAACAGAACCGAAGAGCTCCCTGGGGCAAGCAGCTGCTCCCAGGAACCCATCTACTCTGAGGTTCTTTCTGTTCCCGGGGCATTTGTGTTTTAGGTGGGAACAGCCAGCTCAGACTCTTGGAGAGCTATGAACATGCGCTTGGAATAGAGATTCCCACTTCAAATCTCTTGCTCTGCCAGAACCATGTATATGCTTACCACACAGAAATTCAGCTCCCTGAATTCTACAAATAGGATGCTGGTTTCAGAGGGTCCACAATCATCCTTCGTGGGCATTAACACAGCAGTGGGCTTCTTCCGTTAGCCAAACAGCCTGATGAACAGTACATGTCTGTGTCCCTGTAGTTCCCTGTAGGTGTCCTGGCCTCCCAAGTCCAACTGTGCTCTCAATATACGCTTTCCAGGCCTCCGAATCCAAGACCCAAGTTGGGTTCTGCATGACACACCTAACTAGATCCACAACTACTCAAAGAAATACTCTAAACCTCAGTCTGCCCAAGCCCAGCTAGGTTGATAAGCACAGTATTTTCAAGTTTGTTCATGCTTATGGGAAGAATGACAAGGGTTTGACATAACTGGGCCCAATGCTTACCAGGTCCTTTCATTTTATACATAAGGAGAAAGGATGGCGGATATGTCTGATAGGTGAGTGATAAGAGTTTGGGGTGAGTGACAGGTGTCATGGTGACAGTGGTGACAGCAGTGACACAGGGTGGAATCTAGCAGGTTTTGCAAACCATAGCCAGGGCAGCCCTTAGCCAGTTTTTGTGAATGAATCTGTACTGTGGCAGAAGCATGCAGGACTGTCCCTGGCTGATTTTACTCTGCACGGGGAAGCTGTATAGTCTCCATAGAGATAGTATGACCCCCAATGTCTAAAATACTCTATTGCCTTTCACACACACACACACACACACACACACACACACACACACACACACACACTTTTCTGATCCCTGGGAAAAACAGAAGCATGCAAGCAGATATGTGACGTCATCATAGCTCTTGGACAGTTGTGACGCTTACAGGTGTCCATTGTGTTCAGATATGTGAATGTTACAGGCACACCAGCCAGGAACATGTGTCATCAAGAAATGAGTATCATTACATTGTATACACAGGAAAAAGAAGAATTGTGGGAAGGAAGGAACGGAGCAGGAAGAAACCATTCACTTTCTCCTGAAATGGATGTGGTTCTTCGCAATGAGACCTTTTCTGTTAACCTCCTGAATTGTCTCCACTGCATCAGATGCAAGGGGTGCTGAAGAGAAGGACAATGGACACAGGCTGAGCAAAGAGGAATTTCTAGAAATGGCAGGGTGTGCGTGCTATGGTCTATAAGGTGGGAAGCAGGTTGTCCACATAAGAAAAGTCTCTCCCAAGGGGCTACTCAGAAGAATAGCGTGCACTATCAGGTCTCTCCGACAGGGGATTCTCCTCCTCCCTCAGAAAACTAATACTTCAGAGTGGCGTGAGGAGCCAGGCTTCCTCCTGGCGCTCTTCCAATGAGAGCAGCTCGAAGGTCCTGGGAGTATTCTAATGGGTCATTGGAGTCTTCTGGTAGCCTTCATGAAGACACTCTGGGCTAGACTTAATCCTGGATATAATCTTGTAAAGCACTGAGTACCATTAGCCCCTGTGAGACGAGGCTTTGTGTGGGCAAGTTTAATTCAGACCCATCTGATTTCTGGGTCCACACTCAACTGCTCAACTCTACGTCTTGAGGCCAGAGGTTTATTTTATGCAACCTCAATAAAAAGCGACTTTGTCACCTGACCAGTCACAGAAGGCCTGTGGAACATTCTGGAGCAGTAAAAAAAAAAAAAAAAAAAAAAAAAAAGGCTCACTCCAGGCTCCAGAAGCCCACTTTGGCCAATGGCTGGGCATTTATCTATCCAAAGAGGTGGTTCCAGTCCCCATTAGGAAAGCTCACAGCACTGGCTACTGGTAAACAACCAACTTCATTGCTGTCCAGCTTTTACAGAGCCAGTTTTATTGTTTTATATGTGAAGAGAGCTGAGAAGAGACCCTGAACCTCAGCATGAGGGAATGCAGAAAAGATGAAGCATGTCAGGCTTCCAGAAGGTCAGAAGGACCAGAAGGTCAGTTCAATGGGGGAAAGGGCACATGGATCAAACAAGCAAGTAGCTGAGAGATATTTGTGGCACTGGGGGTGGCGGGGGAAGGGATTGTAATGTCTACTGAAGGAAACCATGGTTGTGGATTTCAGGGCACAGAGACCTGTCAATATGGCTAATCTCCAAGGATGTGGGCAGAATGCACCCTTGATAGCCAAAGAAGTGTACTGTGGAAACTGTCTTAGCCTCCAGCAGGCCAATTTGTTCTCATATTACACACACACTCAGCTGGCTGTTTTGCGAGACCCCTAAATTGGGGATCTGTTTCAGGCACTCCCCACCCAGTGAGGGTTGACACAGCATGGTTGATAAGTCAACAGAATGCAGAAGCCACAGCCGGATTAAGAAGGCTGTTTTATTTTGGTGCCCTGGACTTCAAGCAGATTAAATAATCAAAAAGGCCGGGCCATCGGGGTCATGTTTGAATGCTACAGCTGTTCACTAAGATCTGACCAACATTCTTTATGTGGCTCGCTGTCTGAATGGGAGAGGCAGAGGAGATCCCAGGGAGGCTGACACACTGAGAAAAAGGACGGGACACAATCAAAAGATCCTCTTATGGAAAAGAACCACAGCAGACGGAGACAAGGGGATGGGCTGCTTAAATAAGTGACCTCCCGAATGCAGCAACTGCCTTCTGCCGCAGAGAAAAGCCCGTACTGGATTCCGGGAAAGTGAATAGAAAGCCGGGCTCCGAGTGTGTCGTGGCCTGGGTGTGCTGATCTGTAAGCACGCAAGGCGGGGTGCATGTTGGAAGAGGGCTCGCACTGCAGAGACAGCCATGAAAGGTGAGCAGGAATGAATTCCATTGCCCCTACCCCATAAGTCACCCACTGAGAGAAGGAAGGGACCCCCCCGGAGAAGTGTCTGTGAGAAATCAATTTCAACCTGTCTTTCTTAAAACAATTGGACAGATGCAAAAAATATCTCTCAGTGGGAAGATGGATGTTTCACCATACTGAGCGTGGGGGAAAGGGGCTAGAGACAAATGTGTGTAGCCGTGGTGTAGACATGTAGTTGGTTTGTCATGGGCCATTTCATAGACAGCATGGTGCCTTGAGTTGGAGTTCATTTATTATTCCCTTTGGGGAAGTGGGAAGTCAAGAAAAGAGTAACAAACTGGCCCCCATCTCAGGAAGATAAGCCTTTTATTAATAAGTGGACTGGGTGAGGAAACACGCTGGAGTTTAAGAAGTGATTCCCTGCAACTAATTACCACTTGTGGCTCAGGCACAGTGATGGTATCGGGTGATTTCTAATGGAAAGACATTTGGGGCTTTGAAAGAAGTCATTTTCAGACATCTGAAAAATTATAGGAAGAAAAACAAGGGATGTACTCTTCTGTTTGGGAGGGGATGCGATGTTCTGTGCCTCTTGAACTAAATCAAAGCAGGCCACACCCCTTGGAGAGCTCCTCATTTGCTTGTTCTACAGGCCTGAGCACTAGTACCCAGGAGCAGAGCCCAAAGCAGGGAGATCAAGATGTAGTATATTTGACAGTCATCCTGTGTTCTCCCCTATGTGAAGCCCAAACCAGACCAACAAACAAATACCCTTCCCTTGAAAGCCTTCATATTGATAATGATTCTCAGTTATGAATAGCATTCTGGGACCCTGTAATTGCCTCCATAGTTCAACCAAGTGCCCTTAACAGATGTTTGCCATACTTAGAAACTCAAGTCCCAAGAGAGGGAAAGGGAGGGAGACAGCAACTTTGAAGAATGATCAAGCAGTCTTTTAAGAAAATATCAATTCTCTGAGCCGTACAATGAGACCCACTCTGGATTCTGGGGAGCTCTCCCTCCCCCACATCCCTATATAGTTGTGGAGTTTTAGGCCAGGGAGCTTTTGCAGGATCATTTGTGATAGAGAGAGAGAAGGGAACCCTCACAGCTCGATTGCTTCTTGGTGAGAGATGAGTGGATACTGAATTTGATGTGGTCATACACGGAATATGCCATATTAGCTAAAAGAAATAAAGAAGCTTTCTAAGTACCCATATGGACACACAGATTTGACTAAACAGAAGAGACTGCAGAATAGGTTGCACTTATGATTATATTTATGTGGATTTATTTTAAAACCAGTATCGTACTGTGCAAATCTCTCTCCGATTGCTGCTCCATGTATTTGGCAGAGAAGTATAGCAGATAAGAATTCTCACAGATTTGGTAGACACTCTGGGTTTAAGTCATGTTCTATTGTTTACTGTTTCTGTGACCCTGGGAAGTGAGTTTGCCTCTCTATGACTCTCTTTCTTCCTTTAAGATGTTGAAGATAAGCAACCAATTTGACAAGGTCATTAGGATGAATTCATATCTATAAAGCAATAGGAGGAATCCCTGCCTAGAAATGCATCCTGTCTGGTCATTTGCTATTGTCTTTATTAACGACTGCATTTTACAAAGCTTTGTACAACAATTTTATATCTCGGTGATCATTTCTAGCAATTACAGAAATAAAAATCAGAAGGACTACCTAACAGTCTTGCTCCAAACCTAAGCCAAAGACAAGTTCCCAATACTTCCCACATGTGGAAATGTTGGGTCTTGAAGTAAATGAAGAGAATTTGAGTACATGACAGCACCTTTACAATCTGTGGATTTAGCTCAGTGGTAGAGCACTCAATGAGCAAGCACAAGACCCTGGGTTTAGTCCTCAGCTTGTGGGGGGAATCCTTAGATAACTCCAAAGATCTCAAAAGAGTGTTCAGGTGATACGCTACACCCCATTTCAACTCAAGCTGGAAATGTGATGGACATTTCAGCTCTGCTCTCATTTCTTGAATAGCATTAAGGCTGGCTCTTGGGTACTAGTGCTTGCCTAGTACACAAAGCTCTGAGTGTGATCCCCTAGCCCCAGAAAAACTGGATGTGGTGGCACATACCTGTCATCCCAGGACAGTAACTGTTAACTTGAACATATATGAAGACATAAACCAGGGAAGTCTGTGAAGGGACTTCCGTGAGAAAAAGCTGAGCTGGCCAGAAAAGGGTTGTCTGCCCTACTGCACTTCCAATGAAAAGCAGGAAGATGGTGGAAGTCTGACAACCTATGAATGGCTGGCACAGGTTACAGAAATAGGGATGCTTATCGTATTACTCCTAATAATTCGGGGGTAATTTTTAAAACCTTTATATAAAAAAGGAGCAGAAACAATCATCATAGATGGGGTTTTCCTCATAATGATAGACAGACAGCCATTTGTAGGGAAGGCCCTAGCCAATACAGTCACCTGAAGGCATGTCTGATCATTTAAATCTAAATGAATGAAAACAAAGTCAAAATTCAAAGTCAGCTCTTTGGTTGCAGCAGTCACATTTTGGGAGCTTAGTAACTGTCATTACTGTAGGTGGCTAGTGACAGCCATGTTGAAGGGCAGACACAGAACATTTCTGCCACCATACAAAGCTCAACTGGCCTGTCCTCCTCTGGAGAGCTCCTTTCAGAACTGTTATCTATCTGCCACAGTCCACACATTTGGCTCTGACCTCCAAAGGACATGTGCCCCAGAATGACTCCCCTCACCGTTTCATGTGATATCAGTCTTACAATCCCTTCTCCACGGCTGCTGACAATGGCTGGCCCAGAGCTGGCCGCAGTGATGGGCTAGGTGTGCTCAGTCCCATTCTGCTAAGAAGGCGAGGAATAGAACTTTCTTCCTAGGTGGGTGGAAGGCACTACTGGCTCAGGACCATATGACCTGTGAATTCCCTGGCTGCTCATGACCTTTTCTCAAACCCTGGCCTCGACCCCACCCTCTCTGTTTCAGGAACTCTGCTGCTGTTTTCCAGTCTGAGTATCCTGCTCCAAGGTGTGGGCAGCTGCCCCAAGAAATGTTTGTGTCACTCATCTTCAAACTCTGTGGACTGCAGTGGCCAGGGACTGTCCGAGATTCCTCCTGATCTACCCCCATGGACACTAACCCTGCTCTTACAAGATAACCAGGTCCATTGGCTTCCTGCTCATGCATTTAGATCTGTGCCGCTGCTCAGAACCTTAAATTTATCTAACAACTCTCTTTCAAATCTGGCTTCAGAGGCTTTCTATGGACTTTGGCACTTGGAGGTTTTAAACCTAACCCGAAATTCCCTGCTTTCCCTGGAAAGCAGCCTTGCCCATGCCCTGCCTGGGCTCAGGGAGTTGGATCTGTCATCTAACAGCCTCAGGCTCCTGCCCACGTCCCTGGGCAAGCCTTGGGAGAACCTGACCATGTTTGCTGTGCAGCGGAACCATCTCCTGCATCTGGATCGTACACTTCTAGAGGCCATGCCCAAGGTGAGGCTAGTACTTCTTAAGGACAACCCCTGGAAATGTGACTGCCACTTGCTGGGTCTGAAACTCTGGCTGGAGAGATTCACCTTTGAAGGTCAGTAGTGTGTCTTAGAAATGTTTTTCTGTGTGTCACCAGCCTGAGGTGGACCTCCTCCATCCCCCGCATCTCAAGACGGTAGAGGAGAGTACAAGGAGAGTACAAGGGACAGTGGTAGGCTTTTGCACATCTCAACATGGATGCCATGTCAACTTCGGGATGCAGCAAAGGAGCAAGTGTCAGTTGGAGTGTGGAGGAAGTTTCATATGGAGATTTATGCTCATCAGAGTATGCACGCAGATGGCATGGGCTTCTCCCTGGGAATCCTGCACCAAAGCATCCTCAGGTTTAATTTCCAAGTGTGATCTGGTGGAGGATGTGGCTCTCACTCCTTAGACAGCTTCCCTCTCTTCCCATTTCTACCTAATAATGGCTATAAATCTTATCAAATTCTGAAATTGGGTCCAGAAGGCCCCCTCTCCAAAGTTATTATATCTTTCATCAGAAGCCTAAATTTAAGTAAAAAAAAGCCGAGAATATTAGAGAGAGTAAACTATGGAAATCAGAGGTTAATAACCTATAGACTAAGGTGCAAATTCTGCCTGGTTTTTTTTTTTGTTGTTGTTGTTGTTTATAAATAAAGCTTTATTTGAACACAGCCATACCATTTCATTATGTAATGAGTGGGTATTTTACACAATAGGGCAAAGTAGAGCAGTTGTGACAGAAACCATACAGGACACTTAACAGTCTTTGCTACCTGAACCTTGAGAGAAAAACCTGATGACCTCTGCTGTCAACAGGAAACAGAAGCCCAGAGATATTCAATGACTGGCCTAAGGTCACACAGGAGACGTACAAAGGAGAGGAGAGAGCATGACTGCTGGCCTTACATTCTTCCCTGTACTGCTTCTCCGAGCACTATCCATTCATTCCTCTCCTTGAGTGCCCTTGGTGTACCAGGCACTGCTCCTGACCCAGAGAAAAAGGCAGTGAATAGGAATGCTTATCATTATGAAGGTTCCATTGGAAGGGTTAAAAGCAGGCATTATCTAAGATAATAGATAAAGGTACAGGTTCAGATGGCCGTGCTAAGACAGCGCGAGGCAGGGCAAGGGTAAAGCCGGGGAGGGAATGCGCCCCAGCTTAGATAGGATGGGAAAGAAAAGCCTCCCAGGAGACTGACATGTGTAAGAGCCAGAACCAGGAAAAGAAGAACCGAAGGTAACTGTGGGGGTGGGGACACAGCATCGCAGCATTCTTGGGGTCTGGTGACTGAGTGGCCCAGCTTAGTGAGACACAGAGGAGGGAGTCTGGGTGGAGGTAACACACAGCACATCTTGGGGTGCCTGCCCAGTCTCTACACATGTGCAGAGCAGGTGCCCTGGCTGGATTGTATTCTAAGGGCAGTGGGAAGTTCTGAGGAATTCTTGTCTAGGGAACAGTATGATCTGACCACTGTGTAAAATGCCACTCTGCTGACTCTCGGAGGGCAGCGCAAAGGCTGTTGGAGAAGAGCCAGAGGATGAAGGGGGATGTGATCTCAGTGGGTCAGAGAAGAGATGACAGTGGCCTAAACCAGGGCTGTAACAAGTGACTGACATTTGGAACAGTGAAGTGGTAGATACTGCTGAGGGGTTGGAGGAGGTGACGGACTAGGAGAAGGAGAGAGCAATTATGGGAGATTCTTGTGTATTTTATTCTGTTTGGTAACTACATAAATGGTGATGTTTTTAGCAAATAGGGAATGAAGGCCGTGGGAGAGTCTGGGGGAGGTGCTCAATAGAAGATTCAGAAAGGGAACATATTTGAAATACTTGTCACACTTTAGAGAGGAGCTCTGTTGGTGATTGTATGCTTGAGCCCACGGCTCAGGAAGATCTGAGAGCTGCAGATATGAATTAGGGGAAGAAAACCAACATCTGGAGGCACAGCCTATATAGAGTAAGAGCTCAAACTTGCAACATCAAATTTGGAAGTTTCTCAATAGTTAAGAGCAGCTGATACACTGCCAACCAGCCAACGTTGAAGTTAGCGCACAACGGCGACTATAGAACTTAGTAACATCGTCCTGATAGGTCAAAAACAAGCACATCTGGACGAGAGGTGGCTAGAGACACTGCTTTGGGAATCAAATCACGGCATTAACCAGACCATCCCAGAAAGAGAGTCTTCATCAAGGAAGAACATTTCTTGATGTTAAAAACAATCTGTTTCCAGACCTAGGCCATCCAAAGCAGGACAGGCAAGGCTGGGATTCTCCTATTCAGCCACAAAGCTGGACCAGTGAATGCCACTCACTAGTGCTTAGTGCTAATGCTCATTTTGGTCCCTTGACCCAGCAGTGCAGTTTAACTGTACAGGAGGCTACTGAGAAGGTGCCAGCCACAGCACCCCCCCCCCTTTCCCGGAAGGTCCACACATTCATACTAGGCCTGCCCTTTGCTCTGAGACTCAAGGTTGTGGATTTTAGTGCAGTTCTCTAGTGGAAGGTGGATCTAGAGAAAGACTGGAATCTGAATGCACAGGTACCACAGCCTGGGCAGGGGGGGGGGGGCATCTGGCCTAGCAGCCCGGGCTCTCCCAGTGGAAGCCTCACTGTGCTGTGGTTGGATGAAATGCCTTTGCTCCCCCTGGGGTTCTATCTCTCTAGCTTTCTGCCTTGACACACAGCTCCTAGTGAGGGCCACCAGAGTCAGGGGCAAAGGGAGGTAAGATCCCACACACAGAGGCACAGCCCCGCATCTCAGCGCAGCTGGGTGGGCACCTTGTTCCTCCAGTTTCGTGAACACAAGAGGCTCAAGAAATTCCTCTTTGGTCTTTTTGCTTTAAAACCAGGATCTATGCCTCAAGGGATTATTGAGGAAGCTGGGGGTGGTGGGGGTGGTGGTGGCGGCGGCGGCGGCGGCAGTGGTGGTGGTGGTGGCCGCTGAGTCTGGTTGTGTGTCATTCAGCTTTCAGCAACAGCAGCAAAAAGAGTATGTGTTGAATTTGGTCACTGTCATCAACTCCGGTGTTTCTGAGCCATGTGACAGATCTCCTTTTATGGGGTGGCTCTCTCTACTTATAGGGCACTTACGACTCATCTTAGATGCTTAGATAGCATGAATGGGCATACATCTCCCAAACCCCGAACTACTATACAATGGCATGTACCAATAACGATGAAGTGACAATTACCATATATGCCTTTCTGGCATTAATTTAAAAATTCCCCTATGATGTACACGGAGAATCTGCAATCTGCATTTGCAAAGGGAACATGCCACTCTCCCCTGGGTGAGGTTTTTGGGACAGCCTGAGAGAACCAAGGCACAGGTCCTATGGGTCCTGCTCAGTCAAGTAGGCTTTTCTGCCACTTGCCATGGTCCCAGGAGATACGAGAAAGACAGAATAGGAAGAGAGAAGTGTACTGAGGGGCTGGGTTTTGGGTGCTGATGTCTCCACTCATGCCCTGTGTGAATTAAAAAAAGAATTCCTTGTAAGAGTGGATGGTGAGGACTTTAAACTGTAAACTTGGACACAAATAGGATGTTCTGATGGCAGAAAACTTGAGGAAGTTCATTCCTGTGAAGTTGAATAGTGTACCAATGGTTACATGGGCAGCAGTAGTCCAGGGAAGGATAACTATCACAGATACCCAAGGGACTCAGCTACTTTACAAAGACCAAAACCCACATTGAATAACTCCTTGGAACATTTGGCACTCAAAGCAGTAATGTCATGAGGCCTGAGAAGATGAGTTACTTAAACACCATGAACAAAACATAAGGTGTTGTCAAATGCTCAGATACATAAAACTCAACTAAAAAATGTTGGTAGAGACCTAGAGTCTTTGTAATTAGCACACAAACACAAGAATGGATATTTGCTTTATGCTTTCTTTGATTTCCAGTGAGAATCTGGCAGGAAAGGTTTCTTGTGTGGTGGGGAGTGGACGGGAAGAATTCTGGAGACCATAAGGCCTTTGGCCGCTGGGCCCTCATGGTCCCTGTCAGTGGTCCCCTCAGCCTTTATATAGTATTAAGGGAAATTGGTTTCTAATAAATTCTTAGCAATAAGTAATTGTCTAGTCTGTGGCAGGCTGAGGAATTTGGAATGTTGTCACATCAAAGCTCTATTATCGCCCTTTGCTTTGTTTCTTGAAGGGGGAATAACAGACAGCGCCATCTGCAGGCTGCCTGAACACTGGAAGGGAAAGGAACTCCTCTCCATTCCCCATGAACTATACCAGCCCTGTCCTCTGCCTTCTCCAGACCTGGCACCCTCACTAGTTCAGCAGCCCGGTTCTGCCCCTCAAGAGGCCCATAAGTCTTCTGAGAATAACTCCGGACAACAAGATTCCTTGGAGTGTGAGCCCAAACCCAAACCAAAGCCAGCCAACCTGCGCCACGCTGTGGCTACTGTGGTCATCACTGGGGTGGTATGTGGGATCGTATGTCTCATGATGTTGGCAGCTGCTATCTACGGCTGCACCTACGCAGCCATCACAGCCCAGTACCATGGGAGACCCTTGGCACCAACCAGTGAGTCTGAGAAAATGGGAAGCAAGGAGCCAATGGACAGTTCCGCAGCCCAAGAACCTCCGTGTCCAAGTTCCTCCTTGATCAACTGAGGGCCTCCAGAAATGTTTGAGTGGGCCTGATGTGCCTCACTGCTCTTCTCCCGTGTATCGTCTTCCAAAACAACTAAGAGAAAACATGTGTCTGTTAAAAAAAAAAAGTACCAAAATTTATGGGAAGAAATTTATGGTATAGCTTTGAAATATCACAGACAAAATAGTTACGCTCATATCCTGCAACTGAGAGGTTAGGACATGAGTCTATGTGCAGGAACACGAAGAAGGGAGAGGCCATCTCTTTTAGGTACCTTTCTCTGGATTAACTTGTTTCTACAGAGCAACAGGAATGTTGACATGTGTGCCAACAGGCATTCTTAGGAGCTTTGGGGGCCACCAGTTGGAGGGCCTGGAAAGAGGCTGGTGATCTTACCCGAGGGGTACTGGATGCCTCTTTAATTCAAGTTCATGCTGGATTGGTGGGACTTTTAGATGTTGTGTATGTTACATATTTAGTGGAAATGTCTGTTGGTTGGGAATTTCATAGCTGGCCACAAGAGTCGGATTATATTTAATTTTCTAAATCAGAAAACCATTTGGGGCTTTCTGAGCTGCAGGAGAAGACAAGGGTTCCATGTCTGGTTAATGGGACTCAGACCTGGAGTCTGGGCAAGGTTTTTGATGTGAAGGAACACAGAGGGAATGGGTGAACCAGAATATAGGGTAGATATCACCAAAAGGCCATATCCACCAACCAACTGGAACCTTCCCCTAGAACTCACAGCAGGGATGAATTTAGATTAGGCTGAATGGTGCTTGTGTCTCTGCATCTGCATACACAATGCACAGAGGGCATGGATTTGTACAGCTACACCCACACATAAACACCCTCGGAGCAATCAGCTTACCCACTAATGAGAGGCAGCCGTGTCGGGTTGGGGCCAGTAGCTGTTGCTCACCACCCAGATGGTGTGCTCAACACTCTGGGAGAGGAAGCAAGAAGGAAGTCAGGGGGAGTGGGAGTTGCTGGGGGACTGGAGGTACCTGGTGGCAGACATCCTGAAGGCTCGTGCTGAAGTGTGGCTTTAAAAAGTTCAGGTATGGCTTGCTAAGTCCACACAGACTTTGTCCCGGAGAGTTGCATGCAAAGTGAATTTTTGTAAATTGAATCATCATTTTAATGCAGCAGGGGAGCTCGCTATTTAAAGGAACCTTTCATGGAATCTTTTCTGTAATGGAAATAATTGGCTCCAGATTGATGCATTTTTCAAATTTGCATTTCTTTGCTAGGGTTTCTTAAAGCGGAATATACCTATACCTACTCTTTCTGTTTATACAACAGGCACTTTTTAAGATTATAACTACTTTGCACAGGAAGAGAGCGCAGAGGAGTTAAAGACATGTTAAAAGCAGAAAATGACAAATATGGGGCAAGCTGTTCCTCTAGAGCCCATGACAGACATTGCTAATCAATCCCAGCACTCTTCCCAGCTGAGCCTCAAATACACCACAGATGGTTTCTTAAGACAGCACTATAGGCAACCAGAACTAATCAATTGGAGTTGGTTCAAAGGATAAAGCACATTTGCCATTCAGGGTACTGGCTCTACTTCACCCCTCAAGGCCATGTAAAAATTGGTTTGGATCCCCAGTCAGTAGTCTGCTCCCAAACTGGAACGCAAATGGGACATGCATATGCTGGGATGGACAGATGCACAGCGAGCTGTAAGCAGTGTAAACCTTGTAAACCAGTGGGCTAAGGGTCAACTGTCTTTTTGGAGCATCAGTTCAGCTAGATAGTTTCCTTGGGAGAAGAAGTTGAAGTGTGAATAGCTAACACTTTTCTAAATATCAAAATAAAACTGGATGCATAAAATTATAAGTTTAAAAGCACAATGTATATATGAATGGAAAGTCACAGTGAAACCATTAGCCTGTGCAATTAGTATGTTTTAATGATTACAGTGTAAGAATGAATAGAACAAACAGAGTTCTCAGAGAAGGCCTCATGGCTGCATGGGCTGTTAGTCAGCATGATACCACCTCTCTATTGTGCCAAGGTGGTCCAACTCAACCGTGTGGTGACTGAGTTCCTATTCCAAGGATGTAGCAACTACTTTCAAGCTGAAAAAGCATTTCTTTCCATTGTCCTAACTGTGCCTTTGTTGTTGCTGTTGGCCAAGAATGTAATGTGAGAGGAAATTGAGAAGGTCCGCTATTTTTCATCTCCATTTGACCAAATGTTTTCCAAGCTCACACTGTTAGCAGGCATGGCGCAAACTGTTCCCATGAGCATTCCACACAGAATTCTGACACTCTTCCGAGGGATGCCTGAGCAGCTATCACATGCCCCAAGAACTCCCAGGGCCAACAGCACACACCTCCTCTAACAAGTGATTTGAGACTGCAAGTCTACTGTGCCCTGCTAATAGTTTGGAGGTGCTGTAGGTAAGCCTTGTCCTCAGAGATTACATCAAAGAGTTTCGTACACAGCACAAACCATGGATGGGGCCCAAACCCATGCTTGTCAACATCCTAATCCTATTAGATGTTGAAGTCCAGATGATAACCCAGGCAAAAGGCTTCTAGCTTCATAGGTAGTCTTTAAGCAAAAGGATTTAAATGATACACATGTACACTCAGATTTCTATCATTTGCCTACAGTCACCACACACAGCAGTTGGCAATGAAAATAATTACTTACTCTGAAATGTCAACAGCTTCTCAGCACAGAAAAATATAAATCAAGTTGTTTAGATGAACAAACGTGGAGTTATCATTTGTTAATATGAGAAATGAAATGTTTTAATTGCAAAATGCACAGCAGATGAAAGACCCAGTTTGCAGGGAATTCTGCAAGAACCACAAATTATCTTTCCCAAGCACTGCAGCTCACGAGGGGCAATTTGCAAACGCCTCCCAGATTATTTTCAGCTGCGTATTACTGCTGTCCTATTCATGGATTTCCCCGTAAGAATGTCCTTCCATCACAGGGCTGGGCTGGAGGAGATGCTGAGGCCCCAAATCATGCTTAGTGCTGATTGTCTCAGAGAAAGTCATCTGAAATGTCACGTTTTCATTAAAGGTAGCGTAACATGGTGGTGACAGGCAGGTGGTTTTTGCTCAGGCAGGGCACTGAGTTCACAGACGCTGCAGCTTTCTGCAGTGAAGTAGACGGGAAAGGCAAGGAAAACAGGCAATGATGAGGCGGTTTGTGAGGAATCAGATCAGCTACCAAGCCGGAAGAGCTTGCACAGTTACAGCAGGTACCTCAGACCCTGCAGAAAGAATCTTGTGCTCAAGATGATGAAATGCCAGTGGACAAAGACACAATCTCATGTTGCCTTACGAAAACAGAAAGCCAAAAAGAGACCCACACCTGGGCTTCCTGCTGAAGGTTCCTGAAAGTCAAATCCCTTTGCTGAAGCTAACTAAGAACTTCTGAAAACAGACCCCCTTTGCCTCACACTCCTTCTCAACCTGTGGGTCGCAACCCCTTTGGGGTCAAATGACCCTTTCACAGGGGTGGTCCCATCATCTATTTACATGACTATTCATAAAAGTAGCAAAATTGCAGTCATGAAGTAGCAATGAAATTTTATGCTTGGGGGTCACCACAGCAGGAGGAACTGTATTAAAGGGTCACAGTGTTAAGAAGGTTGAGAAACAATGATTTAAATACCGAAAGCAGTGGAGAAATTGGTTTCCAAAGAAATTTATATGTACACTGTATGCATAGTTATACAGCAACCATTTGAAACCTGTAACTTCCTATGAAGATCAGGAAGCACTGTGTCCAGTGTAGTTAAAAACCCATCAGTAGACCTACTATATGCTACTATCAGAAATCTACAAGACACTCCAACTTACAAACCAAGCTGGATTATCTATAGACCTTCAGGGGACCATCCTCTTCTTCCTCTTGGTAGAAATTCTTCATTTTTTTTTTAATACTCAAATTGCAATGAGGTCTCACAGAGGCCTTGGTCTCACTCAGAGGCTCGGCTTTCTATCTTACTGGCCTGCTTTCTGATCATCTATTTCCACACTGGACACTGAAGGTTCTGAATCATCTGGGTAGGTAGGCACTCATCCAGCCTCACGGGTCCATTAAGATGACCCTGGAAATGAATCAAAGGAGCCAGGAAAGGCCCTGAAGAACAGTACGTCTAGGCCTGGAAAATTCCACAACAGATGTCATTGGCCTCCTTGTCCATCATGGGCATTGCTAACAGATCACAGCAAAGTGAGCTGCCGGTTCCCGACCAGCTCAGAATCCTTTCCAATCGGTTTCTCAGGTGCTCACAACACATCAACTAGTGTTGACATAGGGGATTAGAGCAATGTGCTACTTTGATATAATTTAGCACCTTTATTTTACAAATAGTAACTAGATGTATGGAAAAGGAAAAAAAAAAAAACTTTCCAAAAGTCACACACAGTTCATTGTGTGCCCGATAAACCCAGACGTAGAAGCCTGTAGTCAGCGTGAATAACACAAGCCAATCTCCCATTGCCCTCCGCTCACTGTGCAGTCAGCCACACTATCTAGACTATGACATCATTGTACTAATCACTTAGACAAAAACAATAACAGCACCACCATCAACATTTATTGAGTGTGGTGCTGGCTAGTTTGATGTCAGTTTGACACAAGCTAGAGTTATTCGGGAAGAGGAAACCTCAATTGAGAAAATGCCCCAATTAGGGTTGGTCTCTGGGCATTTTTCTTAATTGCTGTCCACTGTGGTCAGGCCCAGCTCGCAGGGGGCGGTACCACCTTTGGGTAGGTGGTCTTAGGCGTTACAAGAGAAGACCGCTGCCAAAGAAGCCTGTAAGCAGAGTTCTTCCATGGCTTCTGCTTCCTGCCTCCAGGTTCCTGCCTTGAATTTCTCTACTGACATCCTTTGAGGACAGACTAGGATGTGGAACTGTAAGCTGAAATTGACACTTGCCTTACCAGGTTGCTTTTGGTCATGGTATTTTAACACAACACGAGAAACCCAAGATAAACATCCAATTTAGTGCCAAGTATCTTCTAAACACAGTAACCAACTTTTTTTATCTGCCTTATAATGAAAACCTTATTTACTGCTACATAGCATATGAGCCTAAAAAACAAATGTGTCCAAGGTTATCCCACCAGTAAATGATGGAGTAGAAATTCAAATACAAGTCGTGCTGGCCAGTTTTATGTCAACTTAACGTACGCTAGAGTTATCTGAAAGGAAGGAACTTCAGTTGAGAAAATGTCTCCATAATATCTGGCAATGGGACATTTTCTTAATTAGTGATGAATGGGGGCAGGTCCAGCCCATTGTGGGTGGTGCCATCCCCAGGCAGGTGGGTCCTGGGTTCTATAAGAAAGCAGGCTGAGCAAGCCATGGAGAGCAAACCAGTAAGCAGCACTTCTCGATGGCCTCTGTGTCAGCTCCTGTCTCCAGGTTCCTGCCCTCCTTGAGTTCCTATCCTGGCTTTCTTCAATGCTGGACTACAGTGTGGAGGTATAAGCCAAATAAACCCTTTCTTCCCCAACTTTTTGGTCATGGTGAAGGCAAGCCAACCCAGGCAGCTCTGGCCGGGGTCATCACCAGTGTCTGTATGGTGCTCAAAACCTTGATGGTAGAGAGGATGTAGATGGAGAACTCTGGAGTCTATGACATTTACAAGCTAGAGAAATGAGTGAGTCAGCCTAGAAAGACCAGAACATTGATGGGCAGGAGAGGGGAAGTACGAAGAAGGCAATCCGCATAGAATAAGAAAAAGGGATCTCTGAGGGTCGATTTGGGTTGTCTAATGTGGAAACGGCTGACATCACTGGGAAACGTTTTTCTGTGAACAAACCCTGACTGTTGTGGGTTGTAGAAAGAACTGGAGAGAGCATGAGAGAGTAATGTACAACATAAACAGATTAGTGACATATACCATAAAGAAAACAAATGCAACTGCAAACGATGTGGCTGAGGTCTGACCAGCTCAGCTGAATTCAGGAAGGTGAGTTCAGGAAGGTAGAAGGTTTATGGAGGAAAAACAATTATATGCCTGTTCCCTATGCTTCCACTCTGAAATCTCTTCTGATTGTTAAATAAGACTATACATGCCCATCTTCCATCAGCTGGGCTTTATGTAATCACATACTTTGACTTGAAGTGTGGATGGCAGTCAGACATTGATCCTGGCATCAATTAGGGCTGCTTACCCAGAAGCAGAAGAGACTCTGAGAACTGGCAGTGAGTGTGGCCCTTGGGGACAAAAAGTT